AATCTATTGATAAAACATTTTTCTTCTTAATTATTTTTTTATGAGACACTTATCAATATATTTATGACTTTTTTCTTATTAAGCTAATATCAAACACTATATAATTTGGATAATATTTATTTGTTTAATTGATCCGTTCAATTACACTCAGTATTACATATTTTTCAATTAAAACATATTATATAGATATTCACAAAAGTTTCAGAAAAAAGTAAATGAGAACATGAAAAATTATGTAATAATAGTACCTGTACACAACATAAGTGATATTTTGGTTTCAAAGTCTTCACAAATATCAAGACATTTCTGTATTCTCGTATATAAAGAATTAAATTATTTGACCNTTACATTTTGTATATTTGTAATGATATTTATAAATTTTAATTTTGCTGGATTTTCATGAATGATGTACGATTATCTTATATTGCAGGGGAAAGAATTGTTCTTTTATTATAACATTTGATTAAGAATAAATGTAAATAAAGTATCTTGTGTAATGTAATTTGCGTCTTGTGAATTTATTTCTATAACGCAGATCATATGCATATTGCTTAAAAATGTATTCAGTTTAAATTAAAATAAAAAAGACATTCAACATCATTATATAATATATATATATATATGTACAATATGCAGTGTTATTGACCCTAGAAAACTGTGAGAGGTACTCTGAAGATATACATACGTAATGATATATTTCTATTTCAGAACATAATATTGTACATACATCGAATTATATTATATATTATACAATATGTAATGTTACATATTAACTTGTCTATGATACGTGACCACGTGGGAATTCATGAACACATCGTTTACAGTAGTGATCGTATCATAGTATTCACACACAAGCTTGATACACGTGCTTTATGTTGAGAGTCGAAAACAGTGAGGACACAACCTATAAGTTAAAAGATATCGTGAATTTATTAATTTATTGTTTTTCAGCGTTAATTATTATCAGTCGATCATATAAATTACATTTATTTACATTAAGATGCCTTCTATAAACGAAGATAACCAAAAAGAGCAAGCTTCATATGAAAATGATGATATAATACGGGATGAAACTGAACTTTATCCAGAAAGAAAAGGATCACAACCTCGGAGTTTAATGAATAGAATTTTTCGTATCGAAGAACGTAAAGCAGTGAATAAGTTGAAGTGTGAAATGAATGTTTATAAGTGCATGAAAGAGAGTAAGTTTTCTTTATAACTTCTAACCTTTGTCATTATTGCTTTGATAAAGTGTTTATAATATAGAAATATTATATCTCAGAATATTTTTAATAAATGATACTATGTACCTTTAACACACACATTTCCAAACGTTTTTATCCTTATGCATCCTTTGGGTCAAATTTATTTCACAATATTTGCTTTGCACATTGTGTTATATATTGTAAATTATTGTATATACATTATACA